GTTAGACTAGACCAACTAGAGGAAAATTTGGGAGTACGTAGGCTTCATCCACTGGGGACCATGAATGTCTGTACAAAATATTTATGGCAGTTAGGGGGTCACAAAACATTGAAAATTCATCCTTAAAGGATGGTGAATATATAATAAAAAAACAAAAAAACAATTGTAATTCAGAAATACATATTTCATGAATCAAAGAGTTGGTCAAGGAGAATTTGCAAACACAGATAGTGGTCAAGACAAAAGGGCAAGCTCTCATTAAAATTATGATGAATCACCCCCTAGGAACCATGAATGTTTATAGTAAATGTTGTCTCAGTGTGGACCAAAGTGTTGGACTGACTAACAAACAAGTAGACAAGTAGTTCTTCTACTATTGCTTCATCTTTCTCAACTTTACCAACATTACCTTATATAATATTACCCTTCTTAAATGGCCTGACCGCTCTCAATTTTCCTAAACTGATCAATAGCAGAGCTCAGAGCAAGAGGGTATTTTAGGCATTATAAACTCAGCTACATTTTCATGTGCCCAGTCCCCTCAAGTGTATCAATATTATGGCAAAGGTTATGGAGCCCTGGTTGCAATTACTTTCAATCTAGCAAGAGGAGTTGATGACATATATATGGACTTTATGAGCCAGACAAATTTTTACTGCATATCCAGTATTATAATAAGTTATTACTATGGATTTTTCATGGTTACACTAGATTTTAGTTCAGTTATTGTCTGAGGATGAGGTTATTGGCATGCTAGATGGTAGTTTTACTCTTTGTGAAGTTTTGTGTGTAGTTAATTGATGAGCAAACTCTATGTAGTTGTGTGTTTTTGTGTATATTTGGCAGAAAAGAGCAGGGTCATAGTCTGTGAGTTATGGGTTATGTGCTCCAGGAATTCTGATAAGTCGTTTTTTCCCTAACCTGTGATGACGCCATGATGAAACTTCTGCTTAGCCTCCACATAGCAGCTTCCAAAGTTAAGAGGAAATGAAAAGGGAAATTCATTTTATTCCCTTTGCCCTCCTTTTTTTATGTCTAGTTTATATATTACTCGTCCCACTGATCCAGATCTTTGCTACCTGTCTCTCAAGTCTTGGTCTTTCTAAGTCTCTTGTTTGGGTTCAAGCCCCATGACCTGCTGTTTGGCTTGGCAGAAAGGACTGTCTGGATTCGTCACAGGGTTTAATGTTCTTGCCATGCCACACACTTCACATCCATTCCCCCCGCTCTCTGGAATAATATAAAAATCCTCAAGCGCTCGTTCAGCCATGAGTCCAAACTCTGCAACGTTGCCTCCAATCACGATTCCAGATTAGCTAAGGGCCGATGACACTGGAATTCCTCTCAAGTTCCCAAAACTTAAAAGAATATCCTTTGATTAGTTTCCACTGGGGTCTTGGATAATTGGCCTATCATAGTCACCATCAATGGTTTATCATCACTCAGCATCAAAGCACAAAAGAATCCTAATTTTCAATAAGTGGTTAGCTCCATAATTTGGGCAAAGACACTGCAGACTGTCATGCAGAAAGTCGGAATCCAAACTGCTCCAATCTGTTCAGCAGACACAGCTCAAAAAGCCCTATACTGTGTCTGCTTTACTACTGTATGTGAAGTACTGCTGGCTTGTAAAGCAAGGATTTGTTTAAAGACTAATCACTAAGACAAATGAGAATTTAATTTAGTATTATATGTTTGTATTTTCAGTACCTATAGACTCCTGTTTTTTACCTCTACTTCAAGTTATGCTAGTTTGAAATCAAATGATCGGCACCGAGGCATGGTTTCCACTGGGAATGCCATACGAGCCCCACTCACTTTTCAAGATCCCAGCTGTACGTTGTGTTTATTGTTTGTGATATTTAGAAAATGTTTGGATGCTAACAGGCCAAACCACGGTACACATCATACCTGCTGAACACGTGTTAGCATTGTCATTGTGAGCAGGTTAGCATGGTACAACTTCACAAAGCCAGTGGAAATTAGGTTAGCCATTATAATTTAATCCTCATTTATTTGCTAGATTGATTATAAATGTAGAAATTGATCACTTTTCTGTTTCATTGTGTCTGAAACCAAACATAAACCCTTCTATTCATGCATAGCCACATTGTGTGAATTAGACTGTTACATCTTTGCAAACATACCACAGACCCCATGTTTGTGGGTTGCCACATCATCACTGTAGGATTCCAATCACTGCTCAGCAAATCAAAAAACGATAAGAGTCAATGCCTCGGGTGAAGATGATTGGTTTCCATTGTGGTTTGTTTTATGATTCACCCCCAAAGTTCACCCACACATTAATTTTGTCTTCTACAGAACCTGTGAAGGGCAGAATATCAAATATCGCACATGCAGTAATGTGGTAAGTTCAGCAAAGTCATCTTTATGTAATGGATGTCATTAAAGTTTTCAAGTGGTTTTTGTTGAAATGAACTGAAATAGCGAATTGTGATTGAGAATTCACTGTGGTGGGACTGTAAAAATATTACCAAGG